GGGTGCTTTCTGTTAAAGGACTGATGACTGAAATCCTTCCTCGGTGCCTGCAAGGCGCCCCCTGCATGTAGCCTGCGCCCATTTCACAGATGGGAAAGGGGAGGCTCGGGTCACTGGGCTCAGCTCAAGCAGCCCCGGGGGGCACCTAGTTGCCACCCCGTGGCTTTCCCTACTGGCTACGAGGGGTAGAGGGGATGGATTCGTAGGGCTCAGAACCGGGTCCCGTATCGGAAGGCCCCAAGTCGCGCTCACCGGTCTGTGGGCTCAGCACCAGAGCTCCACGCCGGTGCTGGTTGTACGGGGTGGAGGCATTCTGCAGCTTGGGGGGCTGTCACCCCAAGGACAAGGTGGGGGGCTGGCGGTCCTGTCCTCCTCGGCTCTGAGGGCTCAGTAGCTCTGGCCAGGACCGGGTGGGTGGTGGGAGAAAGCTGCTCCCCCAAGCTTGATACCCCCAACTCGTGTCCTCTGCTGCCCCCCACCCCCACCCTTGGCAGCCCCAACCACAGCTGCCTGCGGTGAGTCAGGCTGGAGCCTGCGGGGCTGAGCCCAGGTCTGACGGGGGGAAGGGAAGGGGAGGGCTGCCCGCACCCCACAGCTTTCCCAGCCAGCCCCTCCCCCACTGCGGGGGTCAGTGCTTCCTTCAGTCCCCCAGGAAGTGAATTCTCCGATGCAGGATGAGGGAGAGGCTGAGGGCTCTGACTGTGGGTGAGCCCTGGTCACATCAGCCACCCCACGGAGCAGGGCAACCGAGTTGGGGGGGGTTGGAGGCGGGCAGCCCCGGGGACACCTGGGTCTGGTCCAGCCCCCACTCCCAGCAGCTCGGGTTCCAGCCCTGCTTCCTGCCCTCGGGGGAGGGGCTCTCTCCTACTGGAGCCCCACCCTCCCAGGCCCAGCTGTTCTGCTTATCCTGGCCTCTGCTCCCACGCTGTGCCTGGGATGGAGGGAGGGTAGCTCCGGGTTCACAGCAAGACCAGCCCCCTAGAAACGCTGGGCTACTGCAAGGTGGCCTGTGCTAAAAGGCTGTCATCAGGCTCCCTTTTCCTGGGCCCCAACTCTGGTCCTGCCTGTAATCTGAAATCCTCTCCAGATCTTATGGGGGGGGGAGTGCAGGCTCAGCAGGATCAAGCAACCACTCCCTACTCCCCACCCTCCCTGTGGGATCAAGCCCCCTGTTTCAAGGTTCAGGCCTCACAGTTCCCACAGGCCGCTTGGCTACCCCTGAACACCCACCTTTGCACTTGCTGTTCCCTCTGCCTGGATCACAGTCTCCACACTTTTGTCCCCTGGATGCTTAAGTCTGGTCTTCAAGGACCCCGCCTCCCCAGAGCCTCCCCCAACAGTAACAGCATTTATCACTAACTGAAAGTTGGAATTCAGTGCCCAAACTCTGGGTCCAATCCAAACCCTGGCTCTGCCGCTCTGAGAACTTCACACCAATAACTGGTGGACTCTCTGTGACTCAGTTTCCTCCTTCTGGACCCATGAGTCTTGACCTCCACTGCAGTGTGGCTCCCTGACGGGGCGGGGGGGGGTTCGGGGGAGTGGCCTGCTGGGTCACAGATGCCCAGTCCACATTTCTGAGTCAGTTGGGGAGGCCACGGGAGGTCCCCGGACCACACTCAGAGGGTCCCCAGGAACCCAAGCACTGTCATGAGGATGCCCTGCGACTGGTCTTTCCGGCCTCTCCCCAGCCAGTCCAGAGAGATCAGGTCACGGCCTCACATCCAACAACGGAGGTTCAAATCCAGCCCTGGACCCCTGTCCTCCAGGCACATGCACTCATCCGCCCCCTTGATCTATAAGCTAGGAAGAGCTCTGAGCACCGCTCACACCGGGCCTGGGGGTGGGGGACACTGGGTGGCCCCACCACGGCGATGAAGTCCTGGGGGTTTAGAGGAAGAGGTCGAGTGGGCCCCTCGGGGGCAGTCAGCCTTGGGACGACCCGAGACTGCCCAGTGTGAGGGCCTTAGGTCTCCCTCGCATTCCCTGGGCTCTTTCCCCAGAAACACCAATTACAAGCCAGGTCAGCTGGGCCTTCGGATGTCTGACTCGCGGCCACCTATCCGTGATGACTTTATCTGGAACGTCAGCTTTGCAGCTCCAACACAGGCGTGGGTTCGTCATTGCTTGGCCTCTTTCTAGCCAGGTCACCTTGAAAAAGGGGCCGCCACCTCTGAGGCTGTTCCTCCATGGACCCCACAGCTTCATTGTGGGGGTTCAGACTCCCGGGGTGTCACTGTCCTGTGACTTTGGGCAGGTGACCGAACCAGTCCATGCCTGTCACCCCATCTGTAAAATGAATACTCTTTACTGGCTTGGGATGGCGCTGGGCCCGTGCTGGCCCTGAGGGGGGTCAAGCCTCAGCCCTCCAGGCGCAAAGCCAGTGGCCTGGCTCCCCACTCCCTGGGCCTGGGGACACGAATCTTGGTCCTCCCTCAGCAAGTCTGGGCCAAACACTCAGCAGGCCTTGTGGCCGGCCTCCAGAATTCAAGAGCGGGTGACCACCAGCGCCGGGGCGGCTCTCAGAGGAAGGCCAAGCAGGAGTGGGGTAGGGGTCCACACTGGAGGCTGTGGGCCTGAGGCTGTCCCGCCGGCTGTCCCAGGCACCCAGCCAGCACCAGGCAGTGAGTCAGGGCCCAGGCATGCAGAGGGCCGGGGCCTCTCCAGGCCCCTGTGAGCTCAGGCACCTCCCTGAACCCGCCCGCCAGGCCACGTTCCTTACCCGCTTGCTCATTCCTTCGGCCAGTCCCGGGGGGCTGCCTGGGTAGACAGAGGTACACAGCCACTCTGAGCCTGGGTTCATGCAGCCTCCCCGAGGGGACCTTCTTCCTCTTGGAGAAACTGAGCTGCAGGCAGGCCAGCACCTCCTTAGCCTCCTCCCAGAACCAAGCGAAGCGATTACCTGGAGGGAGAGCAGGCCCATGGAGGGCTTTAGGGCCTGGGCCTGGGCCAAGGGCACTCACAGGCTCTGGTCTGTAACAGCCTCCGCCCCCCACACCTGCTTTGTCTCCCAGGCGCTCGGCGTGATCCGCTACAAGGATGCGTGCCTCATCGCCTGCCCCGCAGCTCAGCTGGGCTGGGTCGACTCGCACATGATCTTGGGGCCCCCCCGGGGCGGGGTGCACTCCCGGCACCTTCACCCGTGCCCTCGAGCAGGCGGGGGCTGGCTGCGTTAGCGGGAACGCCCGTCAGGGAGACAGCTATTCAGCCCAGCACGTGTGGATGCCTGGCTGGTTCTTGGCTGAGGCTGCAAGGTGTGTGGGGGGGGGGCTGCTGCCTCGTGCGCGTGCTCCACGTTTGTCATGACCGAGGGGGTGTTCCTGGCATCTAGAGGGCGGTGGCCAGGAATGCTGCTAAATGTCCTGCGATGTCCAGGACAGCCTGTACCAGAGAATGACTGGCCCTGATGTCCCTAAGGTGGGAAAACCCTGGTCAAGTTCAAGTCTTTTGCCCTTTGGAGACCGATGGTACAAGCAGGAGGCTCTGCACCCATTTCATGCCATGAAAGACCCTACCAATCTTGAAAATGAAAACAGCTCAGGAGGGCTTATGAGAACATTTACTCGAACACGTAAAACTGAGGAAGCCCTTGGCATAAAAACAGGGCCTCTGAAGTTCTGGGAATTTTTGTGAACCGAATGAACTGGCCCATTTCCCTAGAGCCTGACAGGCAGTCTTCCTTGCCCCGGAACCTCCAAGGGTGACCTGAATGGACTATGTCTAGTGCCCATGATGTGCTCAGATGCTACTAGAACTTACTGCTCCCTCTGCCTAGAATGCCCCCTCTCCACTTAAAAAACTTACCGTAACATTGCACCTACTAGAAACAATTCAGTTATACAGATGTGCACGAAACCCCAGACCAAAGGACCCAGAGGCTCATGCGACCGTAACAAATCTACCGGCCAGGCTTTATGTTGAAGGCAGCCAGTTAGGTTTGAGGGGAACCCACTTCCCGTTCTCTACCCTCAGGCAGGCAGGCTGGCCATCAGCTTCCCATTCTTAGTGGTACCCCAAATCACTGAGGTTGGGGGGTAGGGGGACACATAGATTGGCCTGGGTTGTATGCTGCATCAGTTAGATTTACTTTAGTTGTGGGGCGCCTGGCTGGCTCAGTCAGTGGAGCATGCGACTCCTGACCTCAGGGTCATGAGTTCGAGCCCCGTGTTGGGTGTGTAGAGATTATAAATAAACTAAAAAAACCCAAACCAAACCAAACCAAAACAAACAGTGGCACACACAAGATAACTTAGTCTCCCCCCACATAAAGTAGTCCAGTACTGGGGCGCCTGGGTGGCTCAGTCCATTGAGCGTCTGACTCTTGATCTCAGCTCGGGTCTGGATCTCAGGGTCGTAAGTTCAAGCCCCATATCGGGCTTCTACGCTGGATGTGGAGCCTACTTAAAAAAAAAAAAAAAAAAAAAGTCCAGGGGTGCCTGGGTGCTCAGTTGGTTAAGCATCTGACTCTTGATTTCGGCTCATGTCATGACCTCAGGGTCGTGGGGTTGAACTCTGCGTCAGGCTCTGCGCTCAGCCCGGAGCGTACTTGTCCCTTCCCCTCTGCTCCTCCCTCTGCTCGCACCCTCTCTCTGAAATAAATAAATAAAAAAAATCTTAAAAAAAAAAAAAGTCCGGCGCTGCTGATACCCGGTTCCACGGTCATCAGGGAAAACCAGGCTCCCATCCACCCCAGAGGACTGCATCCCGCCTCACGTGTGGCAATGGCACTCTCAGGGCTCCAGCCTGCACCTCCAAATTCCAGTTCTGGGCACACAGTGGCACTCAAGGATATGCCCCGAGTCAATGCAAAAGGGCCCAACTCGAATCACAAATGACAAAGACACAGGACATGTCCTCATACACTACAGCGTCGTTCCTACAGCGTGACCATGACGTGAAGCCGCAGGTCTAGCCGCAAGGGCAGTTCTCCGAGGTTACCTAGCCAAGGCCAGGCCAGCACTGAGGCCGAAGGTCAAAAGAAATCCAGTAACAAACCGCACTTGTGTGTAAACATTTAATGTTCAGCTCATCTCACCACTGAGGCACCGACCACCCACCACGGCTGCTTTGTGCTGTGGACGGACGTGTCCCCGAGGCTCCCGGCTACCAGTCCGTGTCCACCAGGCTCCAGAGATAGTCGCTGATGAACTTCTTGGAGAGCTGGGTGCTGTCCAGGTGGATGGGCTGGGCGACGCTGGGGCCGTGATGGACTGAGGGCACAGATGTAAGGAAGCCTGACACACACAGTGCCCCCCCAACCCCGGGACCCCAGGAGCAAAGGATACTGCCTCTGAAAAAATTGTATGATGATATTTAGAGACCAAACGAGATTTCTGTGAACAAAATTTAAATTCTGATAATGTACTATCTTTTTAAAAAATTGTGGTGAAATACACGTAAAATATACCACTTTAACCAGTTTTTAAGTGTAGAGCTCAGTGGCATTAAGTACATGCACGGGGTTGTGCAACCACCCTCGCCATCAGTCCCCAGAACTTTCCATCTTCCCGAACTGGAACATGGACTCCCCTCCCCCTCTCCCCAGCCCCTGCCATCTACTTCCTGTCTCTGTGGCTTTGACTCCTCTAGGGACCCCTCCCGTCCGTGGAATGAGACAGCAGTTCACTTTTTGTGTCTGGCTGATTTCACCTATCATGTCCTCCAGGTACATCCATGTTCTAGCATGTGCCAGAACGCCCTCCCTTTCTAAGGCGGAATATTACTTTAAGGCATGGATACGCCACAGCGTGCTCACCCAGCAGTTTGCCGAGACATCACTGGGTTGCTCCCGCCTTTCGGCCGTTGGGACCAACGCAGTCATGAACACAGGTGTACAAATATCCATTCGAGTCCCTGCTTTCCATTTGTTTGTGTTTATGCCCAGAAGCGGGACTGCGGGGTCGTCTGGGGATTCGGGGGACCTGCCGGACTGCTGCCCACAGCGGCTCAGCACCTCACATCGCACCAGGCTCCACTTTCTCCACAAAGGATACTGCCTTTGACCATCCCCGGCTCACTCTCGTAGTCCCACTCAATTTTACTAATTCGGTGATAAAGTTGAGCCACATACCTGAACGAGAACACAAAAAACAAGATGAAGAGAGAGAAAAGAAAGTCACTCCCGCAGAGACTCCAACTCAGCTGCGGGGCCGCGCCCAACACCTGCCCCACCACCCCACGCGCGCTGGAGGGACCTACACGGCCGAGGGGATGGTGACAGTCGTGTCTTCGTCAACCTCCCTCTCCTGTCTCTCCAGACTGGCCTCGATCTCCTTGAGCTCCTCCAGCTCTCGGGTGAGCTGAGTAAAGCAGGCAGTTAAGGTCACCTCGCTCTGGAGGGGGGCTGCCCGCGCGAACCCCAGCCGCGGGGGGGCCCAGGGCCCCCGGCTCCAAGCCCGGTGCCTAGCGTCCACGAGCTGGCGTCTCCGGGGTGAGCCCGAGGCCCCGCCGCCACACACGCACGGAAGGATATAGGAGGCTGGCCTTCAGACGGGTGTCCTCCTCGCCGGCCTTCCGAAGCTCGGCTTTGAGCTGCTGCAACTCGACACCCCCCTGGTGCGCCCGCTCCTTCGCATCAAGAAGGCTCTGGGCCACTTCTTCCTCCATGGCCAGAACCTCTGGGGGAGGGGGGGTGGAGAGGAGAGAAGGTGGAAGCCCTTCAAAGCAGTTTCTCCAGGGTCTGCCCTTGCCCCAGAAGAGCCCGAGGACAAAGGGTGGGGGGTTCATGCACCTGAGGTCTCGGCCACTCCTCACTTCCCTGTCTACGGCTCCCCAACCTGCGATCCTATTTCCAAAAGCCCACCACTCAGTTCCACCCGGACCTTGCAAAAGTGCTTCCATTTCACCAAAACACATTTGAATCCGCCAAAAAAAACGAACGAATGCATGAATAAAAAAATCAATCAACCAACCAACCAACCAATCAATCCAGTCCTTCTTTGCACACCTAGTCTTAACTTACAATGTCACGGTCAACCTTGTTGCCCAAGCAAGAAGCTTGGCCCTCACTTCCCACATCCCATTAGTGATCCAGGTCTGGCCAGTCCCCTCCTCCTGGCCAGCGGCAATCCCCTCACAGGTCCCTCCAGGACCACCCAAACAGCCTCCCCCTCGCTCCCTGCTTGCCAGTCCCTTCTGCTCTCTGCCTCCAGTGTGGCTGTCTTAGAGACCAAATGTGAAGTCACTCCCCGGCTCAAAGACCACCCATGGCTGCCTAGTGTCTCCACGATAAGGTCCAGGTCCCTCTGAGCACCTTCAACTTCCCCGACAGCCTTTCTCCCTGCTTTTCAGCCCACCATGTACTCTTCCCTCTGCTCTGGCCACAAAAACACCTCATCATTCTTCAAACAAGCCCCATTTTTCACAGGCCTGGGCCTCCACCTGCCTGTCCTCTGTGGGATGCCACTGTGCTCCTGCCCATTGCGTACTCCTGGACTCAGCCTTCAAGACCTCCTGGGCAGTGCACAACTCGGGCAGCCGGACACTCTCCTCTCCCTCCTAGGGCACGGCCATGCTTCCATGACAGCCCCTCCAGCACTGAATGATTCACTCCTCCTCCTTCTTCCTCCAATCAGGCATTGCATCTTACATTCACCATAGATCGCCAGCACCTACTCAGAATAAACATGCTTTGAACAAAACATCCAGAAAGATCAAAAACACCCTAACAAGGTTACCATGTTTTTTCCCAGAGAGCTGGAGAAACCCGCCAACTCAGAGAAGACACAGATGGAAATGTTTCCCAAAGGGCTGGCGTTTAAGTGTTTACAAACTTACATTAAGTTAATTTTTCATCAAAATAGTACACGTATATGGCTGTGAAAACTTAAACACACACAGGAACACCCCCCTCCCCAAGCCTCTCCAACCCTCTGAAGCAGCCACTTTCAACTCATCACTGTTTTCTCTGGCATTGACCTTCACATTTCTAAATAATTTGCTTATGCTGCTATTTCTTGATTTGTCTGTTTTAAACAGTGCCTGCTGATTTCCTGTTAGGATAGCTGAGGGACTGGCTCTCTTCTGCAGCCTTCCTGCCCCTTCTCCCCTCACCCTCCCCACAGACAACCGAGTCACCTTGGATTCTTCCCTGGGAGTGCCCTCCTCCCTCACAAGCCTCTGAGGGAGGTGGCTTAACCCCTGCCCCCATGGAGAGGTGAAGGACAGAAGCCCCAAGATGTTCAGTGACTTGTCCACAGGCACTTAGCTCTGAGGCCTGGATCTGAACTGGATCCCAGAGTACCAGCTCCCTGGTACACCGACTCTTGTCTCGCCAGCCCCAACTCCATCCGTTCTGCTAAAACCCAGGCAATCTGGGTGATGCCATCTGCTCCCCAAACCATCAATGGAGGGGGAGCGAATGCAGTGGGGAGGAGAGAGAAGAGAGAAAAAAGAGAGAGGAGGAGGAGAGAAGGGGAAGACTGACTGGGGCATGCACCACACTTAGAACAACCTCCAAACACCTCCTGGGGGGCTCACTGCCGGCAGGGTCTGGCTGTGGCTGACCTCACCTGCACCACTTTCTCCGGGGCCTCCAAGTTCACCCTCACCTCAGGACCTTCGCATTTGCAGTCACCTCTGCCAGGAACATGCTTCCCCCAAGCCATCCCCTGCCTAGCTCCTAGGTCATTTCAGTCTCAACCCAAACAGTATCTCCGCATACAACGTAACTGTAAAAAGGCATTAAAAAAAAAAAAAAAACACCCTGGGGGCGCCTGGGTGGCTCAGTTGTTAAGCGTCTGCCTTCGGCTCAGGTCATGATCTCTGGGTCCTGGGATGGAGCCCCGCATCGGGCTCCCTACTCTGCGGGAAGCCTGCTTCTCTCACTCCCACTCCCCTGCTTGTGTTCCTGCTCTCGCTCTCTCTCTCTGTCAAATGAATAAATAAAAACTTTAAAAAAACAAACCAACCAACCCTGGCACCGAAACCACTGTGGAAAACTGGATGACAATTTCTCAAAAAGTTAAATATCAAATTACCATGCGATCTAGCAATTCCACTTGTGGGAAAATACAAAAAAAGATTTGAAAGCAGGGACCCAAAGAGATATTTGCATACCCATGTTCATGGCAGCATTATTCACAATAGGCGGGGGCTGGAAGCTACCAACTGTCCATCAGTGGATGAACGGACAAACAAAATGAGGTATGTCCATACACTGGAATATTATTCAGCCCTAAAAAGAAAGGAAATTCTGACACGTTACAACGTGGATGAATCTTCAAAACATTCTGCTAAGCGAAATTAGGCAGAGAGAAAATATAAAAAATAATAATACAAAGAAAATAAGCCAGACACAAAATTCCAGGATTCCACTTTATATGAGGCCCTAGAATAGTCAAATTCATAGAGACAGGAAGTAGAATGGTGGGTGCCAGGGGCTGGAAGGAAGGGAAATGGGGAGTCAGCGTTTAATTAGTACAGTTTCAGTTGGGGATAATGAAAATGTTCTGGAAACGGACGGTGGGGATGGCTGCACACTGATGTGAATGTGCTTATTGCCACTGAACTGGACACTTAAAAATGGCTAAGTGCTATCAGTGGTCCCATTTCATAGATGAGGACACTGAGGCTTGAGAGGGCAGCCACTGGACTGGGGCCGCAGAGCTCATGAGTTACCTGAAATCCAGGTCGCAGGCTGGGCGAGCCCCTCTCACCTGTGGGAGAGGCTTGATCTAGCCCTCTCTGTAGCATATTAAGATATTTATTAGCAAAGCTTTTTCCCCTTAGCTTTAAGAGTCTTACATTTGAAGGTGTCTTCGATTCCACGTAAATGGTATTATCTATCCACTGTCCTCTCCATGTAAAGCAGGGGGCACCTTACCAGCACCGATTTATTTAATCCTCACCATAGCCCTGGCTCCCTCCCAAGCCTCCTTGGGTTTCTGCTAAAACATCATCTTTTCAGAAGGCTTTTGCTGACTTGCCCCAAAACATCACCACTCCCTCCTATACAACCCAGTTTTTCTCCTTAGCCCGTCACCTCCTGACTTATCCATTTTCCTTGTTTATCCTCTGACTTCCCCCGCTAGCATTAACTACCCTCTATCGGTCTGTTTTGTTCTCTGCTTCTAACCCAGGGCTGGCACTCTACCTGGCACACGGCAGGTGCTCAATAAAATAGCTGAACAACCTCAATAAGTGGGGATGCTGGGATTAAAACCCAGAGCTTTGACTCCTGAGCCCCACTTCGGACCCTGAGTCCCCCAGCTCCTGCTCACGGAACGCTCAAAATTGGGCCAGACCCTGCGAGCTCCTATATTCACCCACTAACTCCCTGGGAGGTGGCTGCCATCCTGAAGCCCATTTCACGGGCGGGGAAACTGAGGCTCAGAGGAGGCAGTGTCTACGGGAGAACAGGGCAGGGATGGGGGCGCCCAGGAGGGAGGGTTTTGAGGCGGACCTTCTGCCCCCTGCCATCACGCGGACCCGGGTCCCGGCCGCCCCCGGCCCCAGCCCTGACCTCGCAGCCGTTGCTCGGCGCTGTCTTGCGTCTCCAGCAGCCGCTCCACCACCTGTTCGTGGCGTCCCAGCAGCCGCCGTTGCTGCGCCTCCGCGCGGTTGGCGCCCAGCAGGCTCACCAGCCCCTGGCTCACTTCTTCCATGTCGCGGAAGGCAGCCATGACTACGCCAGGACCATTCCCGCGCAGGTTTAACTGCCCGCAGGGCCCGCCCCCTTCCCGAAGAGGCCCGTTTCCATTGGCTTGATCCTCCGTCAGTCATCAGAGAATGGGCGGGAGGTAGCTTCAGGTCTGGCCTAGTGCGCCTGCGCTAGCTTGTCAGTCTCCGGCAATGACCAATCGGCGCAGGGAGGGAGGTGGTGCGTGTGCCTGCGGGAGTCCTGCATGATGCGCCTGCGCAGGCTGGAAAGCGTCTGGCAGATCCTGAAGCTGTTTGCGTCCTTGGCAGTAGGCAGCCCGCTGCATCCAGGGCGGGGTTCTAGGGGCGAAGCCTTGGACTGCATCTCGTGGAGCTGACCTTATATAGAGTGTGCGTGGGGTCCTCACAATCAACGTAATAAATACATAAATTCCATAAGAGGCTGCATAGCAAAATAGAGTCCGCAACCAGATTTATGGGGTTCGGATCCCACTTACTAGCTTTGTTACCCTGGGCAAATGACTTCACCTCCCTGTACCTCCCTTTCCTCCTCAGTAAAATGGGGGTCATAATAGTACCTACTTAGGTGTTGGCGTGAGGATTAAGTGAGGAAGGTGCTGGGTATTCAGTGAGCACAATATTAAAGCGTTAAATAAAACCTACATAGAACACTAACAGGTTGGGCACCCAGCCTCACTGGCACCAAACACCATGCTGTGTGAAGGGTTATAGTAGAGAAAAGAAAAGCTGCCCATTTACGTGACAAATTTCTCAAACTGAGGTAAAGAAATCAATTCAGCCGGTCACAAGCAGCGTTTTCTACAAAATACAATGGGGGGAAAAATCAGTGCATTGTGTACAGAACGTTAAGTATTGTTTTGGGGAACTCCAAAATCTGCATTTGTGTACTGGGTGTGACAGATTATATTTTCAAAAAATGGCTACGGAAATAGTTCCAACCTTGACACTCCCTATCAAGAGGCAGACTCATCCTCCTTTTGAACTTCAGCAGGACTCTGCAACAAATAAAATGTAGCAGAAAGGGTACTATGAATTACAAGCCTCGAGCCTCGGTCAGAAACTAGGATGCAGCTTCTGCCTGGTGCTAGCTTGTGCCCTCTCTTGCTCTCTTGCCCTCTCTCAGTTTTGGGATACTTTTTCTCAGAGCCCAGCTGCCATGTTGTGAGGAACCCAAGGTGATGATATAAAGAGTCTCCCAGATGAGGTCGCAGCAGAAGTGAGTGAGTGAGTGAGTGAGCCTGGAAATGACTTCAGCCCCCAGCCTTGGAGCCATCCCAGCTGACACCAAGAGGAGCAGAGATGAGCTGTCCTCACCAAACTGCTGAAATTGTAGATCTCTGAGCAAGATCAATGCCATTGTTCAAAGGCAGTAAATTTGGGAATAATTTGTTATGCAACCGTAACACCTGGACTGCTGGGTCACAGGTGTAATTTCCATCTTACTGTAGGTCACACAAAAAACACGGAAGGCCACTGCTTTAGTGGCAAGACCTCACAATAAGCAAGGAAACAAACGAACAAGATCATTTTAGTGAGGAAACTGTGCTTTGAAGGCACTCCAGCAGGGTCTGGGATAGCGTCAACGGAGTTGGGGGCAGGGAAGGAAGTGACTTTAGGCTATGTGGCCAGGGACAGGGACGGACTCCCTGAGCAGGGGACATATGAACCATGAACCGGGATCTGAGTGATAAAAAGATGTTGGGAAACCAGCGCCAGGCAGAAGAAAGAGCCTGTGCAAAGGACAATGAAGTGGGGAAATTTTTAGTTTGTTTAAGGAATACTGAGGAGGTCCAAGTGGCTGGAGAGGAGGAGGGAGAGGGTTTCCAGGGGTCCTGAAACTTTATTCCGGTATAACAGGAAGCATTGGAAGGCACTGAGTAGAGGAGAGCTATGGAGTGGACTGGCTTCCAGATCTTGCAGAGTCTAGAGAATTTGGGGGCTGGGCTGGATATGCAGAGTGAGGAAAAGGAAGAAGTTGCTTCCTGGGTGTTTGACCCAAACACCTGGATGGGTGGTGCTGCTTGTGGCCAAGAGGGAGAGGAACAGGCACGGAGATAAGAATGGAGGGCCCCCTCAGGGCCCCATGAAGTGAAAGGTTTAGGGAAGTTCTTAGTAGCTGGGGCATGGCCACATGGAACTATCGAGAAGGTGGTTGCTTGGCTGTGAGTCTGTAGAGACGCTTAGGCTGGGAATAAAAGTCAGTTGTCCAGATGCACCTGAGACCAGATGCCACCACCCTGGAAGAGAATAAGGAGGAGGAGGCCCAAGGACCAAGCACTGAGACCCTCTGACTGTAGAAATTGTGGAAAAGAGGAAAAGCCGGCAGAACACAGAAGGCACAGCCAGGGAGGAAGGAGAGAAGCTACCACAGAGAAGTCAGGAAATGTGATTTTGATTGATCATCAGGACTCTGACAGGTCCCCGACCCCACGCCTGGGGCCACCTTCTTCTTCAGAGCTTACTTTATTTTTTTTAGGTTTTATTTATTTAAGTCATCTCTACACCCAATGTGGGGCTTGAACTCATGACCCTAAGATCAGCAGTCGCATGCTCCTCCGACTGAGGCAGCCAGGCACCCCCAGAGCTTACTTTCATTTCTTTTTTTTTAAGATTTTATTTATTTATTTGACAGAGAGAGAGACAGTGAGAGAGGGAACACAAGCAGGAGGAGTGGGAGAGGGGAGGGCTGGGCGGGGAGCCTGACGTGGGGCTCGATCCCAGGACCCTGAGATCATGACCTGAGCCAAAGGCAGACGCTTAACGACTGAGCCACCCAGGTGCCCCCAGAGCTTACTTTCAAGAGACAGTTTTTGTGACGACCCCAAGGGCTGTTTTTATATTTTTACAGTGGTCATGGAGATGGGAACACCCTTAGGACTGATAGATGGATTTAGTCTTATCCAGGTCACAGATCTCTTTGAAATCTGATCAAAGCAGTGACACGGACTCTTTCTTGAAAAACGCATGCCACATCCATACACGTTTGGATTTTGTGCATATTTGGGGTTTAGGACCCCAAAAGGCCATCCCTAGATTTTTAGGTTGATGAAGCTCTCCAGCCTTGTCTC